CACACACTCACAAAATATGCAAACTTTTTCACATCTCCATAATCAGTGGCAAACAGGGAGGGTGGGAGGGGCGGCAAAAAAAATATGAGGAGTGAATAATCAAATTTTATAGAAAAATATGAAGAATTTTTTTTTTTGCCAACTCACGTATCCAATAGAGAAAAAATATGAAACACACCCGCACACACCCACAGAATGAAAGCCTATTTCCGTTTGCCATCAACACCGCACATACACACAAACACACGCAGCGAGAAAAGCAACAAATGTTTGTTTTGCTTTTCATGACGAACAAAATGAGTTTCCTCCGGATGTTCGAGTGAGTGTATGTGGGAATACAACCCAACCCTCAAAAAATAAACACACATAAATAAAAATTAATCCAATAAACTAATAATAAAGTGGCATAACGAAAATTATCTTTTTCATTTTTAGAAAATGTAGTTGACAGTGGCGGAGGCAGGCACATCATAAAGCATTGTATTTTATGGATATCAAGATACAATATTGTAGTAGCTAATTCAATTTAAGAACGTTTACTTTCGATAATGATATAGTCAAGTACCTTTGTTTAAATGTTTAATATAATCTTGACTAAAATAAATTGGGCCTCAAAATGAAACTGTATTTATAAAGGCGCTCGTTACCGTGATACTGGTAGCGTAGCCCGACGTCAAGGAAATGGACGGAAGAAAACAGCAACATCAGCAAAAATGGTTTGAAAAGTAAAGAAGCGACTTGATCGAAACCCACGTCACAGTGGCCGAAAAATGGCTTGTGAGCTGAACATATCGCAATATTCCATTCCGCAAATATAGAAAAATGAGCTCGGGCTAAAGCCATTGAAATTCCAAAAAGTGCCAGAACTTACACCGCAACAGAAGGAAAATAGAAATTCCTTGCAAAAGAGTTGCTTCGCTTGGCCGAAAGGGGTGAACTGCCGAATTTGGTTTTTTACTAGAGTCAGCTGTAAATGTGCACCTTCGGCTGGCCACCAGAGCTTAAGCGCCGGCCATGGTGATGGCATGGGCCGCCATAACAGTCAGGAGTATTTTGGAGAGCAAGGTTGGCACTTAAAAAATACCAAAGTGTCGATCACCTCAAGCAAGCGCTTCGCCGGGAATGAGCCAAAATACCGCAGGGCAACATTCTGGCAGCGTGTGACGTTTTCATTGACCGTTTCAAGGCCATAATTCGTGCCAAAGGTGACCAATTCGAACAAATCTAAACTTATTCTAAAATTTGATGCTATTTCCGACATTTCTTGCTTTCATTGAAAAAAAATTTAAAAAAAATTTGAAACTTATGGCGTTTGACTTTGTTGCAGTTTTTTTATCTCACCCTGTATATCTTTATCCGATATCAGGTTTATTGTGCAACAAATAACCGATATCGGTCTAAATAACCTGAATTTGGGAACATCCGAACGAATTCAGTCTAAAAGCAAGTACATCAAATTAGGTGAAAATCGGTTCAGATATAGCTATAGCTCCTATATATATATGTCTCATCTGATTTGGGGGTTTAAGTCACTCACGTGTATAATATACACTCCACAAGAATGATATTTGGTATCAGATATTGGATACAGCCTAAAATTTTATCGAGATCGGATCATATTTAGATATAGTTCCTGCATTTTTCTTTATCCGATATCAGGTTTATAACGCAACAACCGACCGAATTTAGTCTAGAAGCCAGTACATCAAATTAGGTGCCTTCGTCAAATTTGTTGAAAATATATTCAGAGTTGAATACGGTTTGTTGCTGGAGCTCTACTAAATATACATAGTGGTGTAGGGTTATAATTTAGTCGGCCCCGCCAGTCTTTTGACATTTCCTTACTAGTTTTTTTTTCATTAACAATTAATTAGCTAAAGTCATCGATTTTGTGAAAACTTTACCATTACTATTCAGTTATATGCCATTTAATTAATTTTGTAGGTAATTTAACATTTTTATAAAAAAATATAACTGCACTGATTCATGACATTCTCCCCAAGTAAACAAGTCCTCATATTAGCTCCACGATAAATTTGTCAAAAACCTCTTTTCAATTCAACGAAAACGACTTAAATTTTTCAATCTCCTTGGGCTACAAGCCGGCTTTAAATCATTAGTGTCATTTTCTCAGACAATGAAGCTTATTTCAGACAAACGAACTTCCGTTGCTTGCGATGACAAGGGACAGAAGATAAAGAATTTGGCAACTGTCTAAGGGATTTCCGTATAACATTTTTTGCTTTAATACCAAAAATTTGCCAGTGAGAAGAGGGACAATTTTAGTTGGGGGTAGTAAATGCCGAAAATTTGCGAATGAGACAAGGAGCAAAATTTATTTGGGAAAGGTTGGAAATTTCAGTGGGGGGACACAGGCACTAGATTGGTGTTGGGTGAAGAATGGCACGTAGAAAGTGAAAATTATTTGATTGAAATGAACTTGTTTGCACCACAACAGAAAAAAGGACAGCAACAGATGAAATATGTAATAACAAGTAAAAAAGCTGTAAGTTCGGTCGGGCCGAACTTTTAATAACCTCCACCATTTGGTAGAAATTTGGCAATTTCCAAAAAAAAAAAAAATAAATAAATAAAAATAAAATCTGTTAAAATTTCTGTTAAAATCTTAAAAATACCGAATGCCTATACGACGATGTGGACCTGCATAGGCAACTTTTGTCATAAATTATTACAATATTTAAATGCGAAACTTGAAGAAAAATCAGTTTATAATGTAGCTAAAATCATCAAAATACCGAATATAGGGGGTACCGTTATATGGAGGCTATACGAAGACGTGGACCTACATGGCCCATTTTCTGTTTTATGCTGCATTATCTATTAGGAACTTCAAATACCAAATATGGAACGATTCCGTTAAATAATGTCGCTAGAATCTTCAAAATACCGAATATCGGGGGGTACCCTTATATGGGGGCTATATGAAGACGTGGACCTGCACAGGCAATTTTCTGGCATGGACTAAAGTATCCATTACGAACCTCAAATACCAAATTTGCAACAATTCCGGTAAACAATGTCGCTAAAATCATCAAAATACCGAATATGGGGGGTACCGTTATATGGGGGCTACACGAAGACGTGGACCGTACATGGCTCATTTTTTGACTTAGGATGTAGCATCCATTACGAACTCCAAATGCCAAATTAGAAACAATTGCGGTGAATAATGTTGCAAAAATCATCAAAATACCGAATATCGGGAGTTACTGTTATGTGGGGGCTATACGATAACTTGGACCTACATAGCCCATTTACGAACTTGCCAGTGAGAAGAGGGACAATTTTAGTTGGGGGAAGTAAATGCCGAAAATTTGCGAATGCGATAAGGAGCAAAATTTATTTGGGAAAGATTGGAAATTTCATTGGGGGACACAGACACTAGATTGGTGTTGGGTGAAGACTGGCACGAAGAAAGTGTGAAAATTATTTGATTGAAATGAACTTGTTTGCACCACAACAGAAAAAAGGACAGCAACAGATGAAATATGTAATAACAAGTAAAAAAGCTGTAAGTTCGGTCGGGCCGAACTTTTAATAACCTCCACCATTTGGTAGAAATTTGGCAATTTCCAAAAAAAAAAAAAAAAAAAATAAATAAATAAATAAATAAAATCCGTTAAAAATTCTGTTAAAATCTTAAAAATACCGAATGCCTATACGACGATGTGGACCTGCATAGGCAACTTTTGTCATAAGTTATTACAATATTTAAATGCGAAACTTGAAGAAAAATCAGTTTATAATGTAGCTAAAATCATCAAAATACCGAATTTAGGGGGTACCGTTATATGGGGGCTATACGAAGACGTGGACCTGCACAGGCAATTTTCTGGCATGGACTAAAGTATCCATTACGAACTTCACATGCCAAATTTGAAACAATCTCGGTAAATAATGTTGCTAAAATCATCGAAATACCGAATATCGGGGGTACGGTATATGGGGGCTATACGAAGACGTGGACCTTCATGGACCATTTTCTGTTTTATGCTGCATTATCTATTACGAACTTCAAATACCAAATATGGAACGATTCCGTTAAATAATGTCGCTAAAATCTTCAAAATACCGAATATCGGGGGGTACCGTTATATGGGGGCTATACGAAGACGTGGACCTGCACAGGCAATTTTCTGGCATGGACTAAAGTATCCATTACGAACCTCAAATACCAAATTTGCAACAATTCCGGTAAACAATGTCGCTAAAATCATCAAAATACCGAATATGGGGGGTACCGTTATATGGGGGCTACACGAAGACGTGGACCGTACATGGCTCATTTTTTGATTTAGGATGTAGCATCCATTACGAACTCCAAATGCCAAATTAGAAACAATTGCGGTGAATAATGTTGCAAAAATCATCAAAATACCGAATATCGGGAGGTACCGTTATATGGGGGCTATATGATAACTTGGACCTACATAGCCCATTTACGAACTTAACCTGCCTACTGACAAAATATACATGTGTGCAAAATTTTAGCCTTCTATCTCAATTTGTTCGAAGATAGCGTGATTACAACAGACAGACAGACGGACAGTCAGACGGACAGACAAATAGACAGACAGACATGGCTAAATCGTCTTAGAATTTTACGCTGATCAAGAATATATATACTTTGTTGGGTCTGACATGAGTATTTCGAGGAGATACAAACGGAATGACAAAATTAATATACCCTCCATAGTATGGTGGATGGTATAAAAAGGGGACTTTGAACAGCAGTCTCGATAATACATCTCCCTGCCTAAAAACTTGCTGTTTTAGAAGCAAACATATTTAACATCAGAGAAGCTTGTGAAGGTAGAACTTTTCAATAACATAATCACCTCATGAGAATTTCCCCTATATTTTATTTCACTGGAATTGATAATTCCTTTGGGAAAGCAGTTAGTATTTGCTTTAGCCAGCATAAAGGCAATAAATTCACATTCAAAAGAGAGAAAAAATAATATCCTTCAGATACTTACCCAACAAATCATTAACTCCCGCAAATGTCATCACCAGCGATGCCACAAACAAGTCCGCAATTGCTAATGATGCCAGAAACAAATTCCCAATGCGACGCAGACTGCGTTCCGTGTAGATGGCGAGGCAGACGAGTATATTTCCGGCAATTGACAGGAATATCAGAACAGATAGGAAAATTCCTGCAATATTGAAAATTTCAAATAAAGAAGGAGAAGAAAAGGAAATATTTGGAACAAAAAAGACGATAATATTCTTTACATATTTGCCTTAGAGAATAACAAAAAGAAATCGAAATATGAATGATAGACAGATGCGATGGGATGCTGTGAATGCTGTGCGACAGATGAATGATGTGAATGCAGGCATTCATGCAAGGACGAAATGTTAAAAAATAAAATGAATATTTCAGGGAATGCACTCGCAAATGGATAAATGATGATAAATGCCAACAATTTATATTATAAAAATCACAATGCCTCCGATGTGTAGGTATCAATGTGTGTGTGCGTGTGTGTGTGTTTCTGAATATCAGTGTGTTTGTATATGTCTTTTCCGCTTCCATGCAAACATTATTTAGACGGTATCCCTGTGTGTGATAAAGTGTAAAAAATGTGAATATTTGTCTTCTTGTTTTCCATCCAAAACACCCACCCCCATCCCCTCACATAAACGTGCGTTCCGAGCAAAACATGCAACGCCAAGGATGGGATGCACACATGTCATTCCATCATGCTAGAGATAAGGTGGGAGAGGAGAAAAAATAATCGGAAAGAAATCATGCTAACATAAACAGAAAATGTTCCTAGCGCCTGGTACGTGTTATGGTAATGCCGATAACGAGGAAAATCTCTGTTTATCATCTGTAATGATTTATATCTTATATGTTTCCTACTTCATTAAAGGGATAGATAACATATCAAATCTCTAGACAACGGGGATTTATTGGAAATTCGTGCCAACGGACGAATCTGACTGAGGGGACATTAATAGGAACATTAAAATATAAAATTTTGGAAAATAGACTTACATTGAAGTAGATTATTTCACGGATATATTGACTTATATTTTAACACAGTACCTTTGATATCTCTATATAATTTGACTATAACGGTTTACATTATTTTACTACAGTCAAACGTGGTGCCTTCAGAGGGAGGAAATAGATACTAATCTACAAGTACAGAAGAGTACCCCAACTATTTGGGACAATAGTGAGTTCTTTTTATCCTGCTCAAAAAGTAATTAAATTCGAGGTAACCAGTTAGAAGAAGATTCAGTCAGGGGTTTCCGAAATATTTTTATCCTCAGCCCATGACAACCACATGACCACTATCCCTCTATATACCATTTGATGCGGTCAAAACGTGCCTAGTCGAAGTAACGGTTTTAGACCCTAGGTCTCTTTTTTGCACCAAATCCGTTTCAGAACATTTGGAGTCGATCTAGCGATGTCCGTCCGTCTGTCTATCTGGCTGTCTGGTGCGCACTATAACTCTCGAAGGAAGTATCCGATATGGTCCAAACTTCGTACATCGTAATATTTTTGTCAAACATAGATCGAGTTCGGAAATGAGCAATATCGGTCCACTCCTTCTGGCACCTCCTCTACAAAAAGGTCAACATTTTCAAAAAAAAAAATATATATATATATATATTTTCTGCACAGAAAGAGAAACGATAATCTGATAATCCAAATATTTGCGTCAGTGCTAGGTCAGGTGTGAAAATGGACAATATCGGTCCACCCTATCAAGTACCTCCCCCCAAATGGTCAAAATTTTGAATAATTACAACTCTTATAAAATGTGATGTAAAAGTATAAAAATATTGCGACGTGCTAGGTTTGGACTGTGTTGTGTTAATGGAAATTTTGGGATGTACCAAGTCATGAATAGAATCGGATGTCAATTTGGCTTTTTATGAGCTTCATGGATTTTCAAAATTGTGAGCTTTTGTGGGGGAGGCACCAGAATGAGTGGACCGATATATCCCATCTTCACAACGGATCTTTTCTTAGTGGAAATAATGGGATGTGGGAAATATAAAGAGAACCTGATTTCGGGTTTTATAAATGTTTTGGTTATTCAAAACTTTGACCCCTTGTGGGGGAGATACCAGAAGGAGTGGGCCGATATATTCCATCTTTACACCAGATCTTGGATTTAAGAAAATATTGGAATGTGTGCAATTTTAAGATAGTCGGATTCTAACATCACATTATAATTATTCAAAATGATTACCCTTTGGGGGGGAGGTACTTGATAGAGTGGATAAATAATATCCATTTTTATACCAGACCTAGAACTGACGAAAATATTAGGATTTGCCAAGTTGGAGCAAACCAGGATTACCGGTACTCTTTCTGCGCAGAAAAAAATATTTTTTTTTTTTTTGAAAATTTTGACCTTGTTACCAGAATTTTTTTTTTGAAAATTTTGACCTTGTTACCAGAAATAGTGGACCGATATTGTCCATCTTAACACCAGAACGTGGATTAATATAAATATTGGGATGTGTGAAATTTGAAGATAATCGGGCTCTTACATAAAATTTTATGAGAATTGTAATTATTCAAAATTTTGACTATTTGTGGGGGAGGTACTTGATGGAGTGCACCGATATTGTCCATTTTCACACCTAACCTAGCACGGACGTAAATATTAGGATATGCAAAGTTGGAGCAAAATCGGATTATCCTTTCTCTTTCTGTGCAAACAATATTTTTTTTTGAAAATTCTACCTTTTGTGGGGGAGGTACCAGAGGGAGTGGACCGATATATTCTATCTTAACACCAGACATTGGGTTAATATAAATATTGGGATGTGCGAAATTTGAAGATAATCGGACTCTTACATCACATTTTATGAGAGTTGCAATTATTCAAAATTTTGACCATTTATGGGGGAGGTACTTAATGGAGTGGACCGATATTTTCCATTTTCATTGTATATGCAAAGTTGGAGCGGATTATCCTTTCTCTTTCCGTGCAACAAATTATTTTCTTTGAAAATTTTGACATTTTGTGTGGGAGGTACTGGAAGGCGTGGACCGATATTGCCCATATCCGAACTCGTTCTAAGTTTGACAAAAATATTACAATGTACCAAGTTTGGATCAAATCGGATACTCCCTTCGAGAGTTATCGTGCGCATCAGCCAGCCAGAAAGACAGACAGACGGACATCGGTAGATCGACTCCAAATGTTCTGAAACGGATTTGGTCCAAAGAGACTAGGCACGTTTTGACCGTATCAAATGGTATATACCCTTTGTAGCCATATGGCTGAGGGTATAAAAGCCGTTTATTAAACCCGAAATATGGATTAGGTTATCTTTATATTTCACAAAACAAACATTTTTGCTTCCACTAGGTCTGTTCTGAAAATCGGATATTGTAGTCCTCTCCTTTAGGTACCTCCCCCACAAAGCCTCAAAATTTTGAGGCTCTTAGCTTATAAAAAGCTAAATCAACATTCGATTCCATTTCAGACTTGGTACATCTCAATTTTTCCATCAACATAAAGATTTCTTTTGCTACCTGTCCCACATAGGGTTCAAAATTTTGAAAAACAGATACCTCAAAGAAAGCGAATTAAACATCCAACTATCTTCAAATGTCACACTTACCATAATTTTTGCTAACACAAGGTCTGTTGTGAAGATGCTATATATCCGCGAACCCCTTCTGGTACCTCACACACAAAGGGTCACAATTTTCAATACTTTTATCTGTCATAAATTACAAAACAACTCAGCGATACATTACAACTTGCTATATCTAAATGTATATCTCTCAACCAGAAATCTGAGATGAATATGGAATTTATGATTTCACAAAAATTGGATAAAATTCGATTTTTCTTATAATTTTGGTCATACCAATATTTTTATCTGTCGGTCGACACGCACATGTTAGCATTTTCTAAAAACTATTACATATCTCATGTAAAGTGAAGGAAATTACCAATATAGTCCAAACTTGGAACTTCGCAATATTTATATCATATTTATTTAAGTCCGATACGAAGTGGACAATTTTGCCCCATTCTTTCATATCCCACTCCATAGAGGGTCAAGAGTTTGAATAATCATAACAGAAGTCAAAATATTTTTAAATAATCGAAAATTGGCTGAGGGTATACGTCTGTCGGCTAAACCGACCGATACTGTTTTACTTGTTTTTGTGAACTATAAATTGGAGAAAAACTTGAAAAGGTACCTCCCGAACTATAAAAATGCAGATAAAATGGTTCAGAGTTACTATGTGTCACTAGGTTTCTAAATTAAACCAGCGTGCACCTATGATACTTCAATCAACTTATTTCATATGGATTGATGGATGCCTTGACTTGGAATGATTATCAGTAAGTTTCCACATATCCGATTAAGGTGATGGCTAAATTTTCTCTACTTTTTATATAATTAGATTATTATGAAATGATTTTATTGTGATATCGATGTATCAAAATTTTCTGCAATTTTCCTATACTACCATTGCAAATGTTTCGAAAAATGTGTCTTAAAATAAGTAAATAAGTGGAATGAAATAAAATGTGGAAATAAATAAAAGATAGACAGAAGGAGACATTCAACGACATTTACTTTACCAACAACAATTAATGATACAAGTGACTCCACTTCAGGATCCTCACCCACTATTGTATCTGTTTCTGAGGGATTTATCCAGGAGGTTTCATTAAAGTATGTTGTTATCTGAAAATAGAAAGTGAGAAAAATAAATATTCAAATAATTATTTGAAATATTATATTTACATTAGAAGTGTTAAAATCAATATTTTTCAAATTGATCAAATCTTGGCATTTAAACGTATGATGCATATTAATTGTTGAATGTTCATCATACGCCCTGCGTCACTTGAAATAACTTCATTATGTTGTGCTCTCTTACTTTGTAGCTGCAGGAACACTTTTTCCAACTTTTTTCCTTTCCTTCTCAATTTAATGCGAAACATCAATAAATCAAAATTACACAATATTCATTCATCATCATCATCATCGTCGTCGTCATCCACTTACCTGCCAGCCAAATAAATAAATTTGTCTGTTGCAATGCTTGAAGACGATTCCGTCAAAGAAGAAGAAGAAGAAGATGTATTAATATCTCTTCTCTTCATGGGCTTGCTTGCCTAATAAATTGCAAATTGAAACAAACTTAAGTTTTTGGCAAAAGTGCTGTGGTTTTTGCAAAAATACTCATGCTGTTTTTATATTTCGTTTCAGGCATGCCAGTACATGATTTATTATAAAGTTGTTGGCTGTTGCCAAAGGCAAAGTTTCTAATTAAAGTTAATGGTTTCGTGTTGGGTAAGTATATAAGGGTGGAGAAGGGAGATCGGTTTTCTGTTGCGGTTAGAAATGTTAAATCTTTCTAAATTTTATAGGGGTTACTTAAAATGTTCTGCTAATAATACAAGCCAAGTAGTGGCAAAAAGTTGTCAGAGTTTGGCAAAAAAAAAAAAAATATTGAATACGTTTTTAAAATTTTTAAAATAATTAAACGGTAAAAAATTATTATTCTGGTATCTATTTTTAAATAATTAATAATAATTTACTGTCTTAAGTATTAATTTTCATTTTATATCGTTGGTAATTTGCTTTGGAAGAAAAACCTATATAAGTCATATTTCAAATAAAAAAATATCATTAACTTTCTAATGCTAATTGAACGTCCATATTTGTTTGAAACTTCGAAGGATCTGTTTGGATTTTGACTATTTTTTTTTTTTTTTTTTTTTTTGACATGTAGGTACCAGTTATTGTGTACCATCTTTCCTGTTTTATGCTGCAGTATCTGTTGCGAACTTCAAATACCAAATTGGGAACGATTCTTCTAAATAATGTAGCTAAAATCATCAAAATACCGAATATCGGGGGTACCGTTATATGGGGGCTATATGAAGACGTGGATCTACCTGACTCATTTTATGACTTAGGATGTAGTATCCATTACGAACTTCAAATGCCAAGTTTGAAACAATTCCGGCGAATAATGTCGCTAAAATCATCAAAATACTGAATATCGGGAGGTACCGTTATATGGGGGCTATATGATAACTTGGACCTACATGGCCCATTTACGAACTTAACCTGCCTACTGGCAAAATATACATGTGTGCAAAATTTAAGCCTTCTATCTCAATTTGTTCGAAAGATAGCGTGATTACAACAGATAGACAGACAGACAGACGGACATGCCTAAATCGTCTTAGAATTTTACGCTGATCAAGAATATATATACTTTGTTGGATCTGACATGAGTATTTCGAGGAGTTACAAACGGAATGACAAAATTAATATACCCTCCATAGTATGGTGGAGGGTATAAAAATAATACGATCTGCAAATTTGAACAAAATCGTATACTCCTGTTGATATTTAATCTTAATAGTTAATAACTATGTGCATTTTTATCAGCTATATGTGTAACAGAAGGGGAAAGAGTGGATAGGCCTTACCCATCTTCAAACTAAGTTAACGAAAAATAATTTTCCTCCAAGATTTGAAAATGTTAAATCTTAATTTGTAGTTATTCACCTAAATATTTATGGCGAGTATACTAGTGAAGGTAGTATCCGCACGAACTCCAAATACCAAAATTGTTACAATTCCGGTGAGAAATGTGACACAAAGCCATACAATACGGAATATCGGGGGTACAGTTAGATAGGGACTATACCTAAACATAGATCTTATATTTTTGTTACATATGATGATGTTACGGCAGAAATTCTTCCTACACAAATTACAACAAGTTAATAAGCAGTAAGATCGGCCGGGCCGAACTTTGAATACCCTCCACCATTTAGAACGAATTTGGAAATTTTCAAAAAATAATATCCGTAAAAAGTTGTGCTAAAATCTTAAAAATACGGAATATAGCCGTTATATTGGGGTCTATACGACGTTAACCTATATAGGCTTTGTTTTCTATAAGCCATTACCATATTCAAATTCGAAACTTGAAATAAACGGTGAATAATGTAAAATCATCAAAATACCGTATTTAAGGAGGTACCGTTATATCGGAGTTATACGAAGACCTGGACCTGCATAGAAAATTTTCTGTCACAGGCTGTGGCATCCATTACGAACCTCAAATACGACATCTCAAAAAAATTTCGGTGAGTATTGTACCTAAAATCTTCAAAATACACAATATAGGGAGGTACTGATATATGGGGCCTATACGAAGACCTGACCCTGTATACACAATTGTGTTCTTCCACAGACTGTAGTTCCCATCACGAACTCTAAATACGTAATTTGAAACTACTCCGGTGAGTAATGACGCTAAAATCATCAAAATATATAGAAATATAGTATGTACCGTTATATGGGGGGCTATATGAAGACGTGGATCTGCACAGACAATTTTCTGCCACAGACTGTTGTAGCCATTACGAACTTCAAATATCACATTCGAAACACTTCCGGTGAATAATGTCGCAAAAATTATCAAAATACCGAATATTGGGAGGTACCGCTTTATGGGGGCTATACGAAGACGTGGACCTGCACAGACAATTTTCTGTCACAGGATGTTGTATCCATTACGAACTTCGAAACAATTCCGGTGAATAATGTCGCCAAAATGATCAAAATACCGAATATAGGGAGGCATCGTTATATGGGGGCTATACGAAGACGGGGACCTGCACAGACAATTTTCTGTCTTAGGCGGTAGTATCCATTTTGAACTTCAAATACCAAATTTGAAAAACCCTTCCGGTGAATAATGTCGCCAAAATTATCAAAATACCGAATATTGGGAGGTACCGCTATATGGGGGCTATATGAAAACGTGGACCTACATGGCCCATTTACGAACTTAACATGCCTACTGGCAAACTAAACATGTCTGTAAAGTTTTAGCCTTCTATATCTATTCGTATCGACTTAGAATTTTACGCTGATCAAGAATATATATACTTTGTTGGGTCTGATATGAGTATTTCGAGGAGTTACAAACGAAATGACAAAGTTATATGCTCTCCACAGTATGGTGGAGGGTATATAAATTTCTCATGGGTGGTGAACCGTTATCACAACTACAGATCAGTTTCCACTGTTGATGATGTTGTTGTGATAGCCAAAATTTTGTAAACAAATTCCCGTTACTCCACCTCGAACACATGGTGAAGTCGGGTATAAAAGGGCAGCCGATGGCAGAATCGGGACAGTCAGTGCCAGACCTTGAAAGTGCCAAAATCAACCTCGGTAAGTAAACCAACATTGCGTCGAAGCTTCGGAGATCCGGGACATCCTTGTACATCCTGAAAATATCCTTACCCATCCTGACGACGTCCTTGGGAGTCCTTAGGCATCCTTTGTGAGTCCCTTTATCATCCTTGAATATCCTTGTAGTGCTTGGGTACTTATTAAGGGCCCTTTCAACCGTATCCTTGTATATCCTGTAGTGCTTGAGTACTTATTAAATTCACTTGCAACCATATCCTAGGAAACAATGTTATCTCTATTTACAATCTCTAAACTACAAATTTGGAAAAATATATTTTAACCTACGTTATGATTATTCAACATTTTGACCCTTTAAGGAGGGTATACAAAAAGAGTGAACCAATATTATCCACATCACATCAGAACAGAACTTGATATAAATGTTAAAATGTGCCCGATTTGGAACATATTGACTGCTTCCTTCATGAGATATGTAGGATCTGTAGATCTGTGGTTGAGAGAAGTTTTGTAGATATACGAAGATTGAAAAGAATATCTGACTTGTTTCGCAGCTTATGAAAGATGTGTGTATTTAAAATTCTGACCCTTTATTGGGGAGGGGATGGGGTGTTATTAGAAGGAGTGAAGCGATATTGCTCATCTTCGTACTCCATATAAGTTTGAAAATAATATTACGATGTAGCAAGTGTGAACCAAATCGGATACGCCCGTGGAGGGCGAACACCGCAGATCGACTCCAAATACCCTGAATCTGATTTCATAAAGAAGCCTAGAGTCTAAAATCGTTATTTCGATGAGGCACGTTTTGACCGCATCTAATGATATAAACTCTCTGAAGCCATATAGCTGCGGGAAAAAACATTAAATCAAAATACATTTTGATATAAGTCTTGTATTGGCGTGCCGGCCGATTTTTATACCCTCCACCACATTCCGTTTGTAACTCATCGAAATAATCATTTTAGACCCAGCGTAAAATTCTAAGACGATTTGGTCCTGTCCGTCCGTCCGTCTGTTATAATCACGCTACAGTCTAAACGAATTAAGATAGGAAGCTAAAATTTTGCTCTTTTGTCTGCAGGCAGGTCAAGTTCGAAGATGGGCTATATCGGTCCACGATATCGTATAGCCCCCATATAACGGTACCCCGCGATATTTGGTATTTTGATGATTTTAGCCACATTTTCTAATGGAATGGTCTGAAAATCCACACAAGGAGTTCCTTCTGAGTACTTTATCCCCTGGAAGATAATTATGATGATAATTATGTATATAGGTCCACGATATGGTATAGCCCCAATATAACGGTACCCCTCGATATTCGGTATTTTGATGATTTTAGCCACATTTATTAATGGAATTGTCTGAAATTCCACTCAAGGAGTTCTTTGTAAGCACTTTAACCCCTGACAGAAAATTCTCTTTATAGATTAACGATATCGTATATCCCCCATATGACGGTACCCCCGATATTCGGTATTTTGATGATTTTA